GTAGTAGTAGTGGTGATAGTGGTAGTGGTGGTAGTGGTAGTGGTGGTAGTGGTAGTGGTGGTAGTGGTAGTAGTAGTAGTAGTAGTAGTAGTAGTAGTAGTAATAGTAGTCTTAGTAGTAGTTAGTCTAGTTGTTGTTGTTGTGCTACTACAACCACAGCACAACAGCAGAAATAGCAAACTGCTTGTCATCCAGCCTCGGGGTATGGGCTCCTCCTAGCTTCAGGACTCGAGGAACTCGAGCTTCAGGTTGGAACAACATACACTGTATCGAGAAATCCTGGTAACCTTGACAGCCTTACAGAATCGCTCATGCCTTGCAAAAGCATAACAAAAAGCCTAGCTGGACATAAACAGAAACTTGACAATCCGAAGCGCAAGTCTTAAACTCCAAACCCTCAACGTCACCTTCCGATCAGCTGAGGGCGCTGCCTTACCAGGGACCCAAGTCCTCCGAAGAAAAGCCTGCAAGCAGCGTGCATGCTTGTTTGTGTGCTTGGTGGCGGCTGAATGTAGCCCCGATCCAGAAAAGAAAAGCATGTGAGAATGGCCAATGGCCAACAGGCAAAGGCAGAAATGACAACAGCTTAGGTGCAACCGTGCCAATCGTTTAGGCCATGATGTTGCTAAACGTGCACATACCCAACATCTCGCCAAGCCCTCGTGCAACACTTCTCTGCCCAGAAGCTCGCGTGTGGAGCCCACGAACTCATCCACATCTTGATCGATGCGCTGGTCCGGGTTGTCCACCTCTGTAACAGCTTTGAGGACATGGTGCAAGGGTTTCTGACTTTTTGTTGGACTTTTTACTTGGCATTTGACTGACTCGCTATACTTAGACTCAGTTCAGCGGAAAGCAAAGCTCAAGGCAGACCCTGGCCCTATGTCCACAGCAGGATGCAGCAGAGTTGGCCCAGTTACTAGTTCCTTGGCTAAAAAGTTAACTAAAACCCTGTCTCAACCCAGACTCCGCCAATCCCTAGACCCTAAACGGCCCCTAAACCCTACAAACCCTAAACCCTATAAACCCGAAGCCCTATAATCCCTGTAAACCCTAGACCTTACAAACCCTAAACCCTTTAAGCCAGAAGCCCTTTAACTCCTATAAACCCTATAAGCCCTAAAACCCTATAAACCCGAAGCCCTATAAGCCTAAACCCTAAACCCTAAACCCTGTAAAAACCTATAACCCTATAAAATAAGCCGTTATAAGCCCTATAAACCCTATAAATCCTGTAAACACTATAAACCCTATTAATCCTAAACCCTAAACCCTAAAGCCTATAAGCCCTATAAGCCCTCTAAACCTTATAGATCCTGTAAACCCTAAACCCTATAAACCCTAAACCCCTTCAGGCCCCCACCTCCTAGGCAAGTCGGATTCGCGAGTCTGGAGGCGGGTCTCCAAAACCACCGAAAAGACCCCAACCGTTTAGGGTTTCGGGTTTCGACTCTCACACTCGCACAAGGCTGGCAAGGCTCCGCATAGTGTTTCGGGTTTAGGATTTAGGGTTTCAGCACTCACTCTGGACTTGCCTAGGTTTAGGGTTTAGGGTTCCCAAAGCAGGCGAAACTAGTGGCTTCCAAAAGTTCGAGGGCGGGCATATGGGATTTCGCGATGCTTCATAGGAGGCTTGACAGACTGTCGCCTAGCTGAGGCTTGACAGGGCTTGGCATTGGGGTTGCAAGCTGTGGATCTATGTACATTTTCTATTCGGTTTGGGTTTCGCAGATGATGCATTCATGGAGTTTCACTCACAGTGTTTTTACAAAGGGTTTCTGAACAAAAACCCTGTCTTTGGAGCAGGGTCTTTATACGAGGAATCCTGCTAATTGGCAACGCTATATGTAGCGGGATCCTTCAAATATGTAACTGTAGATTCGGCACCCTTACAACCCCGTTAGCTTTGACAGAACCTTCAAGCGGCAAACCCCACTTGAAGCATCATGCTTACGTACGCCTACTTGCAAGTAGGATACACGCAAATAAACAACAACTATGGCCGTACCTGCTGATATCCCCAAGACTACATGTTTCTCAATTGCCCATGATTCTACAAGTATGTGCCTCAACCCTAAACCCTGAACCTTTTGAACCTTCCAACCCCACCCCCATGGCCTGGACCTCGCACTGCCGCATCATGCCTCGTTCCCACACTTCGCACACTCGGCGCTTGATCTCTCATTGTCATTCAAAGGTCGCAAGTCCCGCCCAAAGGGTCCAAATGCCTACATGATGTATACTTAGGTCTTGAAGCGGTTCTACTTTACGCCCAACGTTTTTTGTTGCACGTGGAATTTCGGGGCTGCTTAGTACGACGTCTATATGAGACAACAAGAGTCAAAAGTATTGGCTCCGTCGAAACGGGGAGACTGAAAGGAGCCCAAGGCATTTAGGGATATGACGAGATGCTTGAAGATGTGTATATATATATATGTATGTATGTATGTATGTATGTATGTATGTATGTATGTATGTATGTATAGGTGTACACACATGTTATCTACGTGTTTGTGTGTGTGTGTGCATGTAGAAGTATCTACCTATCTATCTATACAGATATGTCCACACACGCATGTATATGTATATATATATATATACACATATACTGTCAATATGTTGTTTATATGTTGATTCTGTACTACATACCAACGTACAAATGTGTGCTCATATGTATGTTGGTGTTTCGTTTATGGTTGTGTGTATGCTTTTGCTGTGGTTATATATATATATATATGTGTATGTCTGTCTGTCGTGTGCTAAAAGCTTATGTTTATGGATATCTTCGTGCTTAGGTTTGTGTTTATGGTAGTGTTTGCATGTGTTTCGAAGTGTAAAAATACATGTTCGTATGCAGGTCTAAACAGGCCTGCATCCCTGGATGCATCCGCACAAGAATGCGTGTATGTATAGGGGGTGGGTAGGTAGGCAGGTCGGTCGGTCTGTCGGTTGGACCTACATATGTGTATGAATCAGGTGCATGTATGTGCACATACATATTAGTATATATCTGTATGTGCGTGTCTGATGTATGTATGTATGTATGTATGTATGTATGTATGTAGCACGCACGATGACTGCAGGCATAGGTGTGTGAGTGTGCGCATATGTTCAAGCTTGTGTGCGCACGTGTATTTTCATGCACTTGTGTGATTTATGTCTGTGTGTGATTGTGTGTTTGTGTCTGTGCAGTGGTGTGTGTGTGTGTGTGTCATAGTTCACATGGACTCTTCACTGCAAAATCTGAAGTTGTGAGTGGTTGGGCAGGGCTGGGATTGGGGCCGCGTTCTGGCGATGCCTCGTGTTGTGGTAGTAGTGGATGTTCCTATTGACTTGTGCCTTCCTCCAAGACGAGATGCACATGGCCCCGCTTCCCACCCACAGCCCGTTGAAGTGGCGGGTGAGATGATCACGGGCATGCAGGTGCCACATGCCTCAGCTGGCATCGTCGACGTCTCGGAAGCACTGTGCAGGCACAGTCTGCAGTCGTCTGCGCTGGCAAGACTACGCACAAGTGTGGCAATGACCGGAATCCAAGACGCCGTTGAGGTAGTCGCTGTAGGTGCCAACGAACCCAGTGACCCCGGTGATGATGATGAAGTCCCACAGCAAACCTGGGAGAGGTTATGGGCCTCATCATCAGGTCTCAGGTCTCTAACCTCGAATGACATTTCTTTGTCATAAGTGTTTCAGGGTGTGGTTGCTTCTGGCAACCAGATTCCTTGAGCCATTTGTTCAGCGACTTTCTTGCGCCGTAGTGCACTGCCGAAACTCTATGAACCTTGAACAATCCCAAATGTCTTATAAACCTCGCCTGGAACGACTATATAATACTTATAGCCGGTTCAAAGTGCCTGAAAAACAACAATAACAAACAAATCATGCTAGAGACTTGTGCACACCAGCCTTTGCAGCCGGGGCTCTGTAGAACTGCTTGGACTTATGGTTCTGCAGAGCGGACCAGAAGACTCCGTTCCACTGCGTCAGTGCCTCGGCCAAGTTAGGCTTTGGAGAACTGAAGTTTTGGGGCCTACTTGGAGGTTCAGGGGTAGATATAAGTGGGGCTATAAGTCCCCTAATATGGGCTATAAGTAGAGCTACCCTACTTAAAACCCCATTTATAACTACCCATGAACCTCCAAGTATACAAGGGTTTCGATTCTACGACTCGCAGAAGACAGGCAAGGCTTGGGGTTTAGGGCTCCAACTGTTCACATAGCAGGTTCCTAACTCCCGTTATGTACTAGACGAAGAACAAACGGTGAGCCTGTGCGCACCTAACGACGTGTCGGAATCATCACAATCCGTCTTCGCATGTCACCCCGTGTACAGCAGATGTCCTATCAAGCCAGCTGCCCCAAACACAGCCTTGCAGACTTGAAGAAAGCTTCCAGCTCACGCTTCTCAAACACGAGCGCAAATTGCGCCGCCGAATATTGTTATGGGAGTTTCAAGCAGCTAGTGTCACCGGCACACTGTGCCGCATGAAGACCTACCGACTCAACCTTGATTCAATGCCTACGACCACATTCTCCAGGATGCGACATCGACGTAGAGCGCAACGGCCAGCAGGGCGACGTGAGCTGTTGCATAACCGGCCTTGGGGCCATGGCCCATCCCAAAAACCAGACCAGAGCCGCAACAAAACAAGCACCTAGAACCGAAGGGTCGGGACCTAATAATATAGGGGACTTCATAATTAGAATAAGGCTTTGGGACCATGCCATACTACAGTTATAATAAGGAATAATAAAAAGACTGACGACAAAAAATCGAACCCTTTCATCCGCAGCAAGCTCAAAAAAAAGTTCCTGCAACTTACGTCGGCAAGAACAAAAGGCGGCTGCCGGTTTCCCAACTACAAAGGCCGGGCAACGCACTTCATGGAGGTGGGCCCCGTCACATAGGGCTCCAGGACCTTCATCTTACACTATGTGACTATGTAGTATGGTATCTAGTGTGCGGTATACAGTGTATAGTGTCGATATAACATATACAGTACATGCGTGGTATAGGGGTAGTATTTATAGGGTATATGGAGAATGGTGTGGTATCATCTTCGGGCAATAGAGCGGCCTCAGTAAATATACTGGGGCTTTGGTGTCTGTTTTGGTATGATTTTGGGACGAAATGTTCAGACCTCCCTGGGAGGCAGTAGGCCTAACGGGTTTAGGCAAGGGCTCGGCATGACTCTGGCGACAACTGCTGCTGGTGCTTCACTTTGCTTCTGCAGTCCCTAAACCCTAAACCCTAAACTCCTAAACCCAAAACCCTAAACAGAATGACGCGCCAAGGCTGGGAGCGTCAAATACGGTGCGAAAGAATGCATCACGTGCAGCTGACGACGATGCTTGGAAATCTGTGCGTCAAGGGCTCATGGGCAGTTGAGGTAGGGGCCCAAATGCAAGGCCATTGAAGGACGGTTGCCTGCTCTCGGGCCTTTTGAAACGAAGCCACAACCCAGAGAACCCAATACCTCTTAATTAAGGAATATACCTTAAATTATAGGGGCCCTAATATTATGATTTAAAGTATATTCCTTAATTAAGGGGTATTGGGTTCTCTGGGAAGTCTGTCCAAAAACCAACCCCTGGCCACCAGGAGCAGGTAGCAGCAAACCACACGGCAAGACTCGCGAACAATGAAGTCCTAAGAGGTGTCTGATTGCGAGAAACCCGTGCAGCGCAAAATGCCTTGCAGAACCACGGGTTTTGGTGATTGAACAACACGACCTGAGACGATGACTTAGGACAACCCAACCTGGCGAGCTCTAAAGCGAGAGCTCTGGACCTTTAATCTCAGAACCAAGCCACCCCTGAGCCCTACCTAACTAAGCAACTTCATAGAACCGCTACGGAACTCTTTAAGCTTCCCCCCTCTAATATAAAGCGGCCTCAATAGTTGGAATAGGGTTTTGGGGCCCGTTATACTATACTTATAATAAGGACCCCCTGGCGCACAAAATAGTATTGGCAATTATTTAGGCCCCTAAATTGATCATGGCATGGGTTGGCCTTGATAGCGCTCCGTAGGCTGGAAGCCTGGCAGGTGCAGAAAACTTCATCCTTTTAGGATCGGAATTCGGGTTAGGCGGTTTCGAGTCTCACTCTCGCACACGCAGGCAAGGCTCCTCATACTTCCGTCACTGGGGTCTGGCCCTGTTTAGGCTGTTTAGGGGTACAGAGGTTCGCTGCTTCGGTTTTCAGGGTTCGTGGTCGCAACCCTGGGGCTAGAGGAGTGGTTGTGAATTAAGGAGAACTTGTCCAGACCTGGAAAGCCCCTGTGCGTTCGGATAGGCTCCGGGTTCTGGGGTGGATCGAACTGAGGGTTTGGTTGGTTTACGCTCTCACAAGTCGGACAAGCCAGGCGAGGTTGGTTTAGGGTTTATGGTTTAGGGGTTTAGGGTTTAAGGGTTTAGGGTTTAAGGGTTTAGGGTTTAGGGCTTCAGGATCTACAGTTTTACTTGGGGGTTTCAAGGTGTACATGTTCTTAGGGCTTTAGCTTGGCAAGTCCACCCCAGATCCCCAGGCCGACTAACGCCGGGGCCTTAGCACGTAATAGTAATGTAGGCACGGCGTTCCCTAAACCCTAACCCCCCATAATAATTAGCATAGGGCGTTGTGGCATATTGTACTAGAATTACAATAAGCAACCTCAAGAATAGTATAGGTAATTATTTTCGCTCCTATATTGGAGGAGACTTGGGATATGGTACAACGATCGCGACGCTAAGAGTTTTGCTATTTATTCTGACCTCCGCATGTCAACATGTTACCCCGTGCAGAGTGCCTAAGTAGCTCAGTATCATGAAACTGCATTTGCTGGGCTCAGCGGCTGGGGATCGTGAGGTGACTGATTTGCCGCCGGGCTCGGTGCACATGTTTCGTTTTTTTGGTACAGCTTTCTCGTAAATTGAAGGATCTTGCTATGTTCACCTCGATTAGCACAGTGCACGGTTTGGTCAAAACCCCCAAACCTGAGCCTAAACCCCTTTGAAACTGGGCTTGCTGGCTGCCAGAACATGACCCTCCGACCTGTTGCCAAGGATCCAGACAAGAAAGCTGCACTATCCCAGCCGGAAACCCTGAACTCCAAGATCCTAACCCTAAACCCTAAACCCTAAACCCTGAACTCCAAAATCCTAAACCCCGTAAACCCTCCTTGCCCGGCCTCCTCTTCCTTCTCGGCGGCTTCAACGACCTAGCCAGTTTGCGGGGGGTCAGTTGCAAGGCTCTTGGGCTCTGGCCGCAAGAGGACATCTGAATGTGGAGCCCCTTGACGGGTAAACATATGGGTTTTAGCCTGATGCAACTCTTGATTCGTGCCGTAAGTTTCGGCTTTGCTGTTTACTGTTCACCGGTATCTCTGGGAGTACCTGCAGCCCAAAACCCGAAGCGCAGTGGATCCTGGCACCATACCTAGACGGTAGAACCCTTCAGCCAATAGTGTCTTGAATCCCTTGAACCACAAGCACCCTACTACAGGTACGTGTACGACGCTTACGGTTTAGGGCTGGTAGTTGGCGGCGATGCGCGGCGCCTGTACAAGACAGTCAGGCCCTGAAGTTCCGAGCTTCATGTTGGGCCTTGAAGTATAAGTCGGTGCTTGAATGGGTTGCTCTGTGAGAGTTCTAGCAGAGAGGTCATAACAATTTGAGTATGGTATTTTGGAGTAAATAAATATCATAGGGTTTATCAGGCCTCTTAATTACGTCCAATGAGTACCCTATGCTGAACACAGCGTGTCCCGTCCGCCCCACCCGCCCAGCCCACCGAGTCGCAGACAAGGGAACTCGTCCCAAGAATCAATCGTAAGAAAACGACTTCAAGTGCCAGGGACCACTGCACTCTTCCTTAAGACAGGGCCAGCACCAAGTATACCTGTAGTCTCCATTGTAGTTCCTTTTTTGGGGATACTTTATAAACTCGTTAACATATATTTGGTTAAACCAAAAAAAGGAACTACAATGGAGACTATAGGTAAGAAAACGAATTCAAGTGCCAGGGACCACTGCACTCCTCCTTAAGACAGGGCCAGCACCAAGTGTACAACTCCATGCGCCCGGAAGACCCGGACTGCAGGCCTATCACAGGGGCCTTGTTAACTAGAACAGGTTTTTGGTGGTATGAAACATGAACTTGTAATATGGCGTTCAATAATGAAGGAATCATCTGTCGAGGAGTTACTACTAACTTTCCAGGCCCCTCTTTTTGTCAAAGTGTGTTAAACAATAAACCCTAAACCCTCTTTTTTGTCCATTTTGTGTTTCTGGCTTTCCAGCCTTCGGCAGGGGCGCTGCCAGGTCCGTCTCGGCCAGCCGGGACTTGCCCCAGTACCTGCAGGGCCCCGATCCTAAACCCTACCTATAGTCTCCATTGTAGTTCCTTTTTTGGTTTAACGGTTTAACCAAATATATATTAAGGAGTTTATAAGGTATCCCCCAAAAGGAACTACAATGGAGACTACGGGTAGTTCCCCAATCTCTTGAGCAGGTTTAAGGCCGCAGAAGGACCCCTAAGCCAATTGAAAAACAGCTGAAACTCCCCTTCATCCTTCAGGTTGTTGGGCCCAGTCTAGGCTTTAGGGCCTTCGGGGACAGAGGAAGCGCGAAATGCCGTTGATGGTTGATGTGTTCATGTCCTCAAACAAGGTTTGGAGTCTGATTCATTCTGGACCGTTCTTCCGAAGCCGTGCATACACTCTCGGTCCTGAAGCCCTCCCCTCTGAGCTGAGCAGGTTAAAAGTGTAACATGTTGGGCTTGCATTTCGAGGAACCGTTCACACCTGGTGCAGCTTCTTTTATTCTGGCTTTAGGGTCATGGGGCATTATGACTTTGGGGGCTTTGGGTCGGGAGTTTGGGGTTTGTCGGGCTCCAGACTCTTGGGCTACCCTGAACCCTAAACCCTACTTGGAGGTTCATGGGTAGTTAGAATTGGGGTTATAAGTAGGGTAACTATACTTGTAACCCATATCAAGGGACTTATAATCCCACTTAAAACTACCCATGAACCTCCAAGTAGGGAGTTGTGCAGTTTGGGGCCCGGGTTTTCGGGTTTCCGATTCGGGCAGCTGCGGGTTGCTAGTAGCCCTAAATCGTACTGTACTGTAGGGGCCTTAAACATTAGCAAAGGGTCTTGGGGGCTCCTTATTGTCATTGTCGTATGTAATGGGCCCCAAAACCCTATTCTAGTTTTTAAGGCCCCTAACCCTAAACCCTAAACCCTAAACCCTGAACCCTAAACCCTAAACCCTAAACCCTCCCTAAACCCTAAACCCTAAACCATCCTCTCTGAAAGGTGACTCCGCCCCTCCGCACTCAAAGAGGCCGGCAGCCAGGACGGTGACCGGAGCTGCTACCAGGAAGATTCGCCTTTGAAGGGAAACTTCCCACATATGTATGTGTATATGTAGGGTTTAGGGGTTAGGGCTTAGTATATATATATATATACATATATATATATATATGTAAAAAGGAAGATTCGCCTTTGAAGGGAGACTTCCTACATGGGGGGTTTCAGAGAATAGGGGAAACCAATATAGTACCCCAAATAGTAGGATCCTTATTATAAGGACCCCAAGAGAAGGTACCCCTTATTTTCGGAAACTCCCATATGTATGTGTATTTATATATATATATATATACAGATAGATAGATAGATAGATAGATAGATAGATAAACCTATCTTTATATATATTTCTCTACATGTATATCTGCCTGTGCACATTAAATGTATGTGTATGTATAAGCACAACCTCTCATTCCAATAGCCAGTCGACACCACGTTTTGAGATCAACCACGGCGCTTAGGTTCCAAAACATCCCCCGACCGAAAATTGGCACAGGAAAAGACATGCTCAAACCGCACAGCCCGCCAAAAATCACATCTGAGAATCCGGTTCTCCGGGTTGTACAAGGCGACACCAGTGCCCGCAGAAGTGCTCTTGACAGCATCTGGCTGCTCCTGGGCACTCCACGGTTTTGGCCGCTTGGGGTCTGCTTTTAGTTTGGGACCACGCTGCCCTGTAAAGCCTGTAAACCCTACCGCCTGCCCCAACCCCTGCGAACTTTGCCTCGATTTCCCAACTCGGCACACCTAGCCAGCCACCGCAACAACCCGTCCTTCCTGCCAAACATACCATGGAGCTTGGGCATCGTGTATACGAGCTATACGGAGCGCTTGTCTTTTGTGCTGACCATGCTGCCTCATGCTTCGCGTCGGCCAAGAAGCTGCTGAGACGCCTTGCGCGGGCTTCGCAGTCAGATGTCGGGCGTCGGTTCCAGAGCCATGTGGGTGCAACTTTCGCCGGAAAGCAAGTCTGAGCTGCATGATGCGCTAATGTGCTGCCCGGAGGCGCTCTCTGCACATATGCACATGCACACATACATACACACATACATACATACATACATACATACATACATACATACATACATACACACGTACATACATATATACATACATACATACATACATACATACATACATACATAC